GAGGGTTGCGATCCGTTGCCGGTCACGAAAAAAGACAAAAAGGAAAAAAAAAAAAAGAATGTGTAAAGAAATCCTGTAAACCAGAAAAAATCCAAAAGAACAGTTGCTCAAAAGACACAAATACACATTTTATACGAAAGGAGAAACCCATAGACTTATGAAAAGATGCTTAACTTAATAATTAGGGGAATGCAAATTAAACATCAGTGAAATAACATTTCAGAGCCAGCAGCTGATAGAATGTAAATTTCTATAAACATTTAGAAATTTATTTATTGTCTTGTAAAACTGAACAAGTGCATATCCTATTCACCAGTCATTCCATTACTAAGCAGATCTCTAGAGAAATTCTTCCATACCTATACCAGGGAACATCAAAAGAAAGCACATAGTAGCAATGTTTATAATATTCCTGTTTGGCATAAGGATAGATACCAACTAAGAAAGCATTCAAGTTCAGCCATAACCAATTAACTAATCCAAAACCTGGAAACAACTTAAATGGCCATCAGTGGGAAATGGTTAAATTGTATAATTAGACAGCAAAATATCACATAGTTGTGAAATCGAATGACCTACAACTACATAAAATGAGTGAATCTTAAAAACTTAAGTGTAAAAAGCAGATCAAAAGAAACTGCATGGTATATGATAACATTTCTACAAAGCTCAGAAAGAAGCAAAACTAGATAATATTTTGCTTGGGGATATGTGGTAAAGCCGTTTTTAAAAGCGGGCATTCAGCCAAAATTCATGCTTGGAAATTGCCTCTAGGGAGGATGCAGACTGATAGAGTTGTGAGATAGCACTCTAGAAAATTCAACAGTACTGGCAATATTATAGTTCTTTTGTTGGGCAGTGATTTCATAGATATTAATTTTATAATTTCATTTACACCCTACATATTTTTCTGTATACCAAATATTATGTAATAAAAAATGAATCCTCTTTGGTCACAGAGATAGTTATATATTTAAATGCATGAAAATGAAGATAATTTCTTTGAATAATAAATAGACTCTTTTTCCCAGAAATCAAAACCACACAATTTAAGTATATTTTATTGTTCAGGATTTGAATATAAATTTGTGTATATTATATATGTAGTTAATTTATAAAGAGTATGAGTATGATAACATAAACTTATTATCAATAAATCTTTTTATTGTCATTAAAACAATTTTTACTGCCTATTATATGGTCTATTAGTAAAGTTTACTCAGAAGTTGATGTTTTTAAAATTTGTACCTATCAGCATTTGAAATGTGAACTATATACGTGTTATTTTTTAAATGCCAAAAGTAGTATATATACTAAATAACTATGCTTTTATCTTTTCCCAGGATGTTATTGCTGGATTCCTATATGCCATTTTAATCTTAGCTGTCTTCTATCCATTTGTGGACCTGATTGACAACTTCAACCAAGCTCACAAATATTCTCCATTAATCATCATTGGGCTTCATTTAGCTTTGGGGATCTTTTCTTTCACTCTTGACACCTGGAGCACATCCCGAGGAGACACAGCTGAGATTCTAGGAAGTGGTGCTGGAATTGCATGTGGATGTCATGTTAGTTATAACATGGGTCTAATATCAGATCCTTCTCTGGATATATTACCTTTAGCTAGGCCCCCCATTACTATGACTCTGTTTGGAAAAGCCATATTGAGGATCCTTATAGGGATGGGATTTATACTAATGGTCAGAGATATAATGAAAAAGATCTCCATTCCTTTAGCCTGTAAAGTCTTCAATATACCGTGTGATGATATTCGAAAAGCAAGACAGCACATGGAAGTTGAACTTCCTTATCGGTATATTACCTATGGAATGGTTGGTTTCTCCATCTCATTTTTTGTTCCTTATGTATTTTTCTTTATTGGTATCTCTTGATGGAGAAATATTGCTTATGTTAAGAAAGGAGGATATTAGTCACTGATATCTAAAAATATATTCGAGGTAAAAGCCAGATCAGAATTAGGCTTTTGCGGGAATTTAAATAATTATTTAAGTAAATTCATAAGACTCAGTGCATTTTATCATTGCACATTCAGATATTGTTTTAGGTGAGATAAGCTGTTTCAATACTGGAAAAATGATAAGTATCCATTTAGAATGTTCATGTAATGTTTGGAGAGTTTTGTGCTGTTATGGATTCAAGTTATATATAATATATATTAAGGTACATAATATACAACTATATATCTAATATATGTTATATATAAAATAATATACCTAAGTTTTTTTTAAACTATGGGGATGTATTATAAAATCAATAATAATATGCAAACAGTTGTGCCTGTGTATTTGGACTTAATACAGGTATGTTGTTATTAACAAATATATTTAACATTTACCTACTATGGGAACCATTTCCTAATTGAATTGCATAACTACTAGACCAGAATTCATATGCTAACACATTATTTACTGCCTCTTTTTACACTGCCATCACCTTTCATGTTACTGATGATGTTGAACATGGGAGGCATCTTTAATGGACCAAATTTTCAGAAAAACTCATTTTTGGATTTATTTTTTTTAATTTCTGTACACTATGTTGAATGTACTTTATTTGCACCTGTTCTGGACATCAGTTTAATAATTCAGGTACTGAATTTTTTTGCTTGCTAATTGTGCCTTTCTGTTGCTGAATTAAGAAATGCCATGTATACTGTGATATAAAAATAAGATGCTAACTTTATCTTAAGTTACATATAATCAGGCAAATATTTTAAAGACACATGTTAAGCTAACAGGTATAGAAGTAAACTACCCTTAACTCTTTAGCCTTCATTTATGAAGAAATGTGGAACGGGCTAAAATTTCTCACTAATTTATTGGAAAGCTAAATGGATAAATATTTCCATTTTTGTAGGTATTTTTCTGTGAATTATAGGTTATAGGAGCAAGCTATATTTTTTGTACATTGTCTTGATTCTTTATACTGCAGGTCAATATTTCCAAGTGGAAATGTAGTTGAAATTTATGGATGGGACAATGCACATACTTCATATGTAAACAAACCATTTTTCTAAATTATTTGGAAAGGATTGGATTTAGCACTGTTAACCTTTAACACCCATTTATTAGCTGCTTAATGTGAATTATAAAATCTAAAAATAAGTATCAGTATTTTTACATCGTGTTATTTTTTAACTTTTATTGTTTTCACAGTGACGAATTTGGGCATAATAAAGTATTTCTTTCTGTGCCTTTACACTTTAAAGTGCAGTTCTATTTAAGTTAACATTAAGTTCATTTGTAGAAAGTTTTTCATGAAGAGGATAATTAACTTTCCATATAAATGAACATCAGGTATGGAATTACTGACAGTGCAATATCTGTATGATTATCCAGAAGTATCACTTGAGATGTTTCTATTTTGGGCAGCATAACTATTTGAACTCATATTTTTATAATTCTGATTGAGACTCTAGGGGCATGGTAATTTTTACCAAAACTGAATCTGATAGTTTTAAGTAAAGCAACTAAAATTGGGCCCTTTACCTATTAGTTAAAAGGAAACCAAGGCACTTAGGAACACATTGGTACATTGGAAAATGTGAAAAGAGCTTTTCTTTCAAAATGTGTATTTAATGAACTGAATTTTAAGGACTGTGTCCCATAATTTGGGTCTATGCTATCCTATCAGTTTTGATGTCTAGCTTAAAAGGTATTTGAAAATATTTTATTTCTTTGTGTTTTATTATTTTCTGTCCTATGACAGTTCTATGCTAAATGTATTTTAAAATAAAAGCCAAATGTAAGATTGAAGGGTTTTTTTGTTTGTTTTGTTTGCCTTCTATGCATTTGTCTCTGTGTTATCTGGTAGAGATTTTTAAAATATGTCTAGCATTTTCATTCTAGCAGGCTTTTCCTCTGAAGCATTTTGTTCAAAATCAAAATACTGCTTTTAGCAATAGAAAACATTGAAGAAATTCTTTAAAATTCAGATTGACTTTTGGCTCCATTTATGACCATTTCTTTTTTTTTTTCCTTTTTGTCTTTTTTCGTGACTGGTAACAGGATCGCAACCTTCGGGGTCGCGCCTGTACCACGACCGGCAACGGGATCGCAACCCTCGGTGTTGCGCCTGCACCACGCTCAACCAGTGAGCGGACCGGTCTGTATATGGGATCCGAACCCTCGGTGGGAGCGCCGCCGTGCTCCCAAGCGCCACACTCTACCGAGTGCGCCACCAGGCCGGCCATTTTACGACCATTTCTAACATTACTTTTAATTAAAAGTTTCATAATATTTCTCTTAAAAAACCTTATGTTGAAAAATGTTTCAATAAAATCTGTGGTTAACAGTATTGTGGGTAGTTTACTGCTATTCTATTAATATCAAGAATTAATCTTAAGACGAGGAACAAGTACTTTTCAAGCAGAATAAAAACATATGGACATTTCATTTTGTGGTTTCAAATGCCATGATATGTGAATTGCAAAAACTAGGTCTGCCAGAAACTTATTACAGGGTCTAATATAAAACCATGTAAATATAAGATTGACATAATTATCTTAATTTTATTTTCTAGCTTTCTTTACAAGTAATATTTATCAAATGTATCTTTCAAAGATAACATAAAAAATTAATTCAGTGGGGCCGGCCCGGTGGCGCACTGGATAGTGTGCCGCTTGGGAAGCGCGGCGGCGCTCCCGCCCAAGGGTTCGGATCCCATATACAGACCGGTCCGCTCACTGGTTGAGCGTGG